ACAATGAAACGGCGATCTATAAATGATATCATCACTGGCGAGATAGCCCATTTATCGGTTTGCTACCACTCTGTATACCACGAACTTTTATATAATAAAATTTGGCATTTTATTTTTAGCCTGCTTAGCAGGCACTTGGAAGTAGTGGGCGCAAGAAAGAACGGGCGCGAGAGGGAGACACACTTCTCCCCTCGCGTGTCTCCCTCTCGGGCACCCGTCCTTTTTTGCGCCCACTACTTCCAAGCGCCTGCTACGCAGGCTATTTTTTATCTGAAGAGTGTTGTTTGTCGCTTATAATCTGTAAATCCCCTTTCTTTCACTTTGGCGTAGAAAGTTTCGAGAAAAGTTTGGATAATCGACAGAGGAAACATTATGTTCCGCACTTTTTTTAAATTCCCACTTTGCATCAGTTTGCCATTGCAATTCTCCGTGTTATATGAGTACATTAACATCCGGCTTTGTTCTCCGGAAAGGGGGGAAAACCTTAATTTTTTACGACCATGCTATTTAGCTTTTCCAGCAGATGGAATGTTTGATACCGTACGTTTTTAAGAAATTTACTAACTGGTCAACCGATTTCAAAAGAGGTAACGTTCCTGTGCCTGCACTTCTAAAATATCGTATTTACGTGCTTCGCCTGTGAATGATTATTCAACTGATGTGGAACATCAAGCTGAGGTTAGATCCATACGGATGTGCTTCTTTGTGAATTGGCGTGAAGTGTTGTTATCTATTGAGAAAAAAAAAGGAAAGCAAAATGGTTTTACGAAAGGTCGCATTAGAGGAGATTGCCACTTTTAGGCCCGGTTCAGACTCTGCACTTCACATTTAGGATGGAGTTTGAGCTATTTTGAAAAAAAAAACATAGCTCATATGTCGGTGTTCTTTGTATCTTTCTCTGTTGGTATATATGTGACAAGCCTCCCTCGCAGGCGTTTTTAGGGGAGCTCGTATTTTTGTGGTTAGGGATGAAAGACGGCCTCCCCCAAAAACGCCTGTGTTGGAGGCTAACTGATGTGACAAGCCAGGTCAAGCGGTGCCCCCCCAAGATGCCATTAATTTATTTATTATTCGAAAGTTGAATCAGTTGGTACTTGCAGTTCAGATTCAAGAATTTGCGATCCTGCATGCGTAATAAGGGGTATCTCTTCGCACGCAAGGTAGTTACGAAATTTCTACGAGCTCAGATATCTTGAATTTGATGTAAATGTCTTCGAAGCAATTTTGTCCATACAAAGATATTTCAACCTGACCGAATACAGAAAAGTTATCGTAAAAAAATCACTTCTCAGTTAACTAATTATGCAGAATACAGTCAACTCCCGTTACCGACTGCGGACGCCCTCGGGAGCGCGATTTAGTGTCCTTAATAGCGAGTGTCCGTAATAACACTGTAATTTTCAAGGAGTTATAATAACTCCTCTAGTGGGGCTAATTTAACTCCTTACAGTGGAGTTATTTTTTCGTGGAGTTATTTTAACTCCAAAAAGGAGTTTAAAGAACTCTTTTTCAGGAGTAAAAGTGACCCCAGATATTGAGGAGTTAAAATAATCCCAAAAAAGGAGTTATCCTGTACCTAAAATTTTTACTCCACTTTCAGAGTTGAATTAACTCCAAAAAGAGTAAAAACAACCCATGTAAGGAGTACAAGTAACCCCATTTCGGAGTGATTTTAACTCCAGACTGGGAGTAAAAAGAACTCTTTTTCAGGAGTAAAAATGACCCCAAATTCGAAGTTAAATTAGGAGTTAAAATAACCCCAAAAAAGGGGTTATCCTGTACCTAAAATTTTTACTCCATTTTTGAAGTTATAATAACTCCCTAAAAATTACGGTGAACGGGTTGCGAGAAAAAATTTCTTGATATTAGAGGAATTAACTTTATTCATATTGTACATTGTCTCCAGAACCAATTGCAGTGCAGTTTTCGCATATAAAGAGCGTCAGAACTTTATTTACAAACAAGACAAATCGTAACATTAACAGACCTTAATTTTTTTTTGCATCTCCCTTTCATTTACCACAACAGTCAATGAAAAATTTGTAGTACTGACACAAACACCATAGAGTTTTTTGCAAGTAAGTACGGTAGTTTCTTACAAGGATCATGTTGAACGAGAATCGGAATGTTCACTTTTCAACCAAAGTGACAGAGACGAAGAGAAGAAGAGGAAGAAATAAACTGTAATCTGTGATAATTCTGCCAAAATTTCCAAAATGCTGATTGATGTCCGTCACAACGAGAGTTCGAACATGCAATGAAGTTGTTTTGTCGGGATCGACAGAAGTGTCCGTAAGTCAGTATTAGCGGGAGTTTGTTTCAGTCAAATATGTGTAATTTTCACCGAGGATTCAGCAGCTGTCCGTAATTAGTGGGGTCTCGGTAATAGCGAGGTGTCCGCAAGACGAGAGTTGACTGTAAGTGATAGCGACTCCTTTTCTACGCCATTGGATGTGATAAATGCGTTGACAAAAAGTATAATATGGATAAAAATTCTTAACATATTATAAAAAGCAAGTAAACATGATCTTCCTTTTCTCTTATCAGGCCCTGGCAACGGCTCTCAGGCAAAGATAATCCAATCTTAAACCGGTGTCAGAGCATTCATGGAAAGAGGTCCGGGATCAGGTGACGCCACATCAGCAGATGATGAAACACTCCTGTTTGACGATGACACTTTAAAGGGTGAGGCGAACCTTGCTCTTTTCTTTCCATAATGTAATGTCAACAGTATAAAAATTTTATCCGGTTACATGGAAGATCTCTGTTATTTACAAATACATGTACATTTTGTCACTGAGTGTGCGCTGGCCTAATTTAAGTATTTTCAATCCTGGCTGGGAGTAGACCGATCAAGAGCAAATAATGATTACGTTGGTTTATCACAAAAAGTTTAAAAAAATCACTGAAATAATTATAAATTGCTGTGTTATAGCAATTGCAGAGGTTTACAACAATGAGGGTTACGATGAGTACAACAAACAGAATTTCAGCAGCGCCATAAACTTCTACACAGAAGGAATTAAAGTGAACTGCAAGGATAAAGAACTGAACGCCAAACTGTACAGCAACAGGGCAACAGCACATTTAGATTTGGGTAAGAAGTTGCTTGTCAACTTTCTAAAGATTTTTAAATGTATTGGTTTTGTAAGGACAGTTTTTGTAAGAACAGTCAAGCAAGGCGTGTCAGTTACATATTTCTAGTCATGCTTTATGTTTTACGCTTTCTAAAGGAAAAGACCACAAATAAGAGCTGCTCCGAATAACTAATTTCAGTTGCTATTCATTGGTAGAATGCCTAAGGCGCGTGCAATTCCATAATTGATTTCGGGCTCCATTAATTCTTTTGCCAGTGGCAGGAGATTTTAGAAGGATCCGCTACAATGTAAGCACAGTAGTTGACAGGACAAGTTACTGAGAAAGACAACCTAAAATATACTGTAATCCGTTACAGTACAAACCAGGTGAATGTGTCAACTGAACCGGTTCTTTTTAAGGTGTAATTGTTTCTGCGTTCCTTCTTTTCGCAGGGAACTACACTGAAGTTCTAAATGATTCAAAAATTGCGATCGACTTACTACCATATTTTTTTAAAGCTTGTGTGCCAGGTAAATCAACTATAAATCCATCTCCACTGAATATTTCTTTCCTGACCACAATTATGAGATTATTAATTTAATTACAGTACAAACCAGGTATAAGTGTCAACTAAACGCTCGCGTACGGTAAAACTGTTGTCTTCTTACCGCTTTTCCGGGGGTTGGTTCCTCGGACAACATTACCGGCGCCTTAGCTATTTCAGCCCACGTAAGGTAAACAGTTTTTATTATATAACTAATTTTTTACCTTGTATTGTTATTACTACTATTATTATTATTATTATTATTATTATTATTATTATTATTATTATTATTATTATTATTATTATTATTATTATTACAAGTGATACCGGTAAAAGAAAATTATAATTAGTTTATTACACTATAACATATAGATTTAGCCAGGGCTAAAAGCGAAGCTCTGGTTAATAATACTTATAAAGAAAAAAAATTAAATCGTGTAATGCTAAACGGGGACGGCAGTGAAAATGGCATCAAGATCAATAGATGTGATTACACATGCACTCTTTTTTGTCTTTCTTTGCCGTTGTTTTGCACAACTACAATGCTGTTTTGTAGGACTAAAATTCCTAGTTACACATTATTTTTATGGAGGAATTGTAGTACGTGCTTACCTAATATTTTGTCTCCTGTGTTCATGTTCGCTTTTATTTTTCACTGCCCCTCGTTTTCACCTTGCTGGCCGCTAGCATTTCTCATTGTCTCACGGCCGCTTTGAATTTTCATGTTTTTCTTCCTACGAGTCCTTTGTTTTCAATCACTCGCTCTAGCTCTTTCTCTGTTTTCCGCGTGAGTGTAACCATCAAAAATAACGTCGAAAAAGACACGACTTTGTTGTTATTTCTTTCTTAAAGTCCGGGCGGCCATGCGATTTCTTTCCAAATAAAACCTTGAGTTGCATTTCGGTTGCCATACCTGTTGATTGAATTATTTTACATTGGTATGCATGTGGTGCGGACAGACTCTCGGGGCGGTCGGTCGATGTACGGTCACGTGATTACCAAATTAATTCGGATGGGTAGTTCACCGCATTTTCTTACCCATGGTGACCTGCTGCGCGCGCTTCGCGCGCGAGAGCTTTGCTTAACGTTGCAGTCGCAGATTCGACAAACTCGTATTTAATTTGAAACTGTCGAATTTAGTTCATTCTGACGTCCCATCTCTAAGCAGTTACCTCTCAAATTAAATTAGGCACTTGTTAAAATCGACGATTGAGCCAGTTGAGCTAAGTAATGATAACAGTGTCCAGTATTACTAAAAATACCAGTAGATGATATGATATGATACCTACCGCATTTTATATATTCCCTGCCTGTAAACATTGCTTTCAACTTACCACTTCATGTTATTGGCTATATGCACCACACAGGTAAAAAAGAGATTTTTGAAATTTGCTTCAAGGGGATTCGAACCCGGACCTTCAGAATCAGTTAGAACTAAAAGTTAACGTCTCCGATCCACTGGACCACCTCGGTAAAGGCTGACAATTCGAGTTTAAAAGAAGTGTATATTCCTTTTCCATGGTGATTGACAGTTTTGAAGCATGACTTTTTCGTTTTTTTTTTTAATTTCCTTGTAGAATTTAATCTTTAACTGATCGAAGCTAGACTTAAAGGTCACAACAAACCCATTAATACTCTTTCAGGCTTAGTCCATGCCGGAGAACGTTTAAGAAATCTATGGACCATCGATTCGTACGAGGGAGAGAATCGTACGATCATACGGTTCAGTGCTCGTAAGGTGTCTTTTCATTGGTCGGGGAAAAGTTAAATTAGGAGTTAAAATAACCCCAAAAAAGGGGTTATCCTGTACCTAAAATTTTTACTCCATTTTTGAAGTTATAATAACTCCCTAAAAATTACGGTGAACGGGTTGCGAGAAAAAATTTCTTGATATTAGAGGAATTAACTTTATTCATATTGTACATTGTCTCCAGAACCAATTGCAGTGCAGTTTTCGCATATAAAGAGCGTCAGAACTTTATTTACAAACAAGACAAATCGTAACATTAACAGACCTTAATTTTTTTTTGCATCTCCCTTTCATTTACCACAACAGTCAATGAAAAATTTGTAGTACTGACACAAACACCATAGAGTTTTTTGCAAGTAAGTACGGTAGTTTCTTACAAGGATCATGTTGAACGAGAATCGGAATGTTCACTTTTCAACCAAAGTGACAGAGACGAAGAGAAGAAGAGGAAGAAATAAACTGTAATCTGTGATAATTCTGCCAAAATTTCCAAAATGCTGATTGATGTCCGTCACAACGAGAGTTCGAACATGCAATGAAGTTGTTTTGTCGGGATCGACAGAAGTGTCCGTAAGTCAGTATTAGCGGGAGTTTGTTTCAGTCAAATATGTGTAATTTTCACCGAGGATTCAGCAGCTGTCCGTAATTAGTGGGGTCTCGGTAATAGCGAGGTGTCCGCAAGACGAGAGTTGACTGTAAGTGATAGCGACTCCTTTTCTACGCCATTGGATGTGATAAATGCGTTGACAAAAAGTATAATATGGATAAAAATTCTTAACATATTATAAAAAGCAAGTAAACATGATCTTCCTTTTCTCTTATCAGGCCCTGGCAACGGCTCTCAGGCAAAGATAATCCAATCTTAAACCGGTGTCAGAGCATTCATGGAAAGAGGTCCGGGATCAGGTGACGCCACATCAGCAGATGATGAAACACTCCTGTTTGACGATGACACTTTAAAGGGTGAGGCGAACCTTGCTCTTTTCTTTCCATAATGTAATGTCAACAGTATAAAAATTTT